AAAGGAGAAAACATCAGTCCCTCAACAAAGAGAAGAGGCGGCAGCTCGGCAGAACTACTGAAGCAGAACTCTGAAAGATGTCGCCGAGTGGCGGGTGTGAAACGGGCCGGGGCACTCGTGGAGGCGCACCCCGGAACCTTGCCGCAGCCTGAACTGGCAGTGTCAGCCAGAATAGCTCGGGGCCCAGCACGGGATTCGTGGAGCGTCTGGGCTCTGAAGAGCAGACCCTGCACTCGCCCTGCCCCACCCTTGCACGGCCCACGCCAGCTGCTCAGAGTCTGAGAGGAAAAACGGAATGGCTCCTGGGCAGAGACTTCACGCCCAGACGTGGGGGTGTCCTGGAGCGAATGCCAGCGTCGCACGATTCCCCCACACCCCGCGAGCTCCGAACCAGGCTTCCACTGAGTTGCTATGAAACACACACGGCCCAGCAGGGTCCCCAGCACATCTGAAGGGGCCCCTCCAACACCCAGATGAGAACGCAGAGAACAGAAGACCAACAAAGAGGAGCGCCCTAGGGGCGAAGCTGCCGGTTAGGACACCACCTCCCACGTGGGCGTGCTGACGGCTGGCTCCAGCTTCCTGTTGAGGCAGACCCAGGGAGGCAGCAGCCGATGGCTCGAGTGCCTGGGCGCCTGCCATCCATGTGGGAGACAGGATTCCGTTCCCGGCTCCTGGCTTTAGCCTGGCCCAGCGTTGGCTATTGCAGGCATTTAGGGAGTGGGGACCTCTTGCTCTCTAATAAAAATTTAGAAAAAAAAAAAAACATAAAAAAGATGCAGCAACTACTGCTACCCAGTAGGGAAGGCACCTGAGCAGAGGGGTGTGGGTGTGCCAGGCTGCAGTCTGTCCCTGTCGGCAGGTGTGGGACAGCTCGGCCTGACGTTTAGCGGATCAGCAGGTGCTGCGTTGAGCTCATCCTGCACATTGCTAGCATCCATCTTATTTCTAACAGCCCACGCTCAGTGGCTTATCCACGGTCATAATCTCTTCCATCTGCTGTTGTCTCTTTACTGAGTGCAGCCTGCAAAGCGGGAGTGAGCATGGTGGCGCCGGTGCTGTGTGTGGCTCATGGGTTCAGGTGCCACGTGTGATGCTGCCATCCCATAGCCCACTGGCGGTTCGAGCCCCAGCTGCTCCACCTGGTCCAGCTTTCTGGTGATGTGCCGGGGAGGTCAGCAGAAGCCGGCCCCGGTGCTTGGGAGGCCTGGATGGCGCTCCTGGCTCCTGGCTCCTGGCTCCTGGCTCCTGGCTTCCCAGCCCTGGCTGTTGCAGGCACTTGGGAAGTGACCCAGTGATGGAAGTTCGCTCTCCTCCTCTCTCTGATGTTCTGCCTTTCCAGTAACTAAGTAAATCTCTTAAAAAAAGAGAGAAGGGTGTTGGAGCGGGCGCCCCAGGCAGCGCGTCTGTCTAGGCTGGGAAGCCCCAGGCTCTGAGGACTTGTAAACTGAAAGCCCAGGGGAACAGGCGACCACCCTGACCGTGGTGAGACGGCGCTCACGTGTGGGCACAGTCCTCAGCCAGCCCCGCTGAGCAGACACGTCCAGCTGCCCTCCACTTCAGGAAGTGGAGGACTCCAGGCACGGGCCCTGGCGGGGAGCTGAGCCGCTGCGCCTGCCTCGCGCCTCGGTGCTCCCGATGGAGCCGCTCCAGCCACGAGCGCGAGGAAAGGGGTGGGGGCGGGGCCCGGTCTGCCCTGGCTGCGGCCGCCCCTGCGCCCTGCTTCTGCTCCCACGTCCCCGTGAAGAGCGTCCACACCGCGTTGCTTCACTCCGGTCGTTCATGCGCTGTGACACAGGGCACCGCGGAGCGTCGCATCAGCAGGCTCTGGAGCGGGAAACCTCTGCCCCTTTGCAGACCGAGCAGGGCGAAGGCTGCAGTGACTGAGAGGTTCATGGAAAGTCGGCCTCTTCGTCCTTGCTGACTGTGCCACGTGGGTCAGGAAGGCTCAGGCTCCCTGTCGGCTGGAGCAGGAAAAGGCTTGGGCCTTGAGAGCTCACCACCGACGGGGGCGATACAGCTATTTGAAAGGCAGACTGACAGATCTTCCATCCACTGGTTCATTCCCCACATGGCCGCAACAGCCAGAACTGGGCCAGGCTGAAGCCAGGAGCCAGGAACTCCATCTGGGTCTTCCACATGCTTGGCAGGAGCCCAAGCTCTCGGGCCATCATTGTGTGCCTCCCAAGTGCACGATTAGCAGGGAGCCGCACTGAAGGGTGAGGGAGCAGGAGTCGAATGAGCTCCCCAGGATGGGATGTGGGTGTCCCACCAGGGGCTCCAGCTGCCGCTGCACAACACCTGCCCTGGGGGTGAGCTTGAATTTTCTTCAAACGCAGGACGCTCATAGCTGCTGCTTTGCAAAGCCACCTGTAATGGCACCAGTGCAGCGTCCTGGGCTGGCCGACTAGGCAAAGCGCCGCGGGAGGTCCCTGAGGACACTGCAGCTGGTGCCCTGGGGACAATGGTGTGTGTGCTGTGGACGCACCTGCCATGGAAGGGCGAGGCAGGGGAACGACGGAGTGAGCACACCACATAGCAGCAACTGAGAGCTGCACATTTCAGCTCTCCCTCCCAGCCCCACCCTACACCCAAAGCTGCACTTTGGGGATCTCGTCACAACCATTTTCAGCCAACTGTGCTTACTTCACACTGAGTTTACAGAAAGAGACGTGGAATCCCGTGGCTAGGATGAGACCCAGCCAGTTTGAGTGGGTGCCAGTTTGAGTCCCAGCTGCTTCATTTCTGATCCAGCTCTCTGCTGTGGCCTGGGAAACCAGTAGAGGATGGCCCAAGTCCTTGGGTCCCTGCACCTGCGTGGGAGACCCAGAAGCTCCTGGCCAGATGGGCTCAGCTCCGGCCATTGCAGCCATTTGGAGAGTGAACCAGTGTAACTCTGCCTTTCAAATCAATAAATCTTAAAAAAAAAAAAAAAAAGACTTATTTATTTGAAAGGCAGAGTCAGAGACAGGGAGAGACAGTATCTTCCATCTGCTGGTTCACTCCCCAAATGGCTGCAATGGCCAGGGCTGGGCCAAGCCAAGGCCAGGAGCCAGGAGCTTCACTGTCCCCTGTGGGTGCAGGGGCCCAAGGACTTGGGCCATCTGCTGCCTTCCCAGGTGCATTAGCAGGGAGCGGGATGGGAAGTGGAGCAGCCGGGACACTGACCAGGGTCCCTATGGGATGCTGGCATCGCAGGTGGCGGCTTTACCCGCTATGCCACAGCGCCAGCCAAGGATCTAATTTTACACGGAGAAAAATCTAAGGACGCGATGGAAAGGTTAGAATACACAGCCCAGATCAGCCTGTAGAGGAGGGAGGGAGACTGAGGGAGACGGCACAGACCTGGCCTGGCCACGCTGAGGCGCCTGCAGTGGGCCTGTCAGCTGACGCCAGGCCAGCCAGGGCTCCCTGAGAGGCGCTTGAGGTCTGGGGAGTCACAAGCAGCCAGACGCCTGCCCTGGGAGCCCTCACCTGGCCTGGCGGGAGCAGGCCGCCCAGGCTGGCTTCTTTACCGCAGGCAAGCCACTCAGTCCACCTGCAAAATGTGCCGTGCAGGGCCCCGCCCCAGGCTGCGGCTCCTGTCCTCACCGTCCTGGAAGGCCTGGTTCCCGGCCTGTCCCACTTTCTGGTGAGGAAGAGGAGCATTCAGCAAAGTCAACTCGATGCGGGACAAGCCCACACTGGGAAACCCCCACTTGGTAATAACAAACAGTGGAGTTTAAAAATGCACACGGCTGCTCTCCCTGCTGTGTACCACCCCCCCAACAGGTGACTGAAAGCTGACTGTTGTCACTGGGACTGGGGGGGGATCGCCATCAGGGCTCTTCTCACATGCCTGGACCCTGGACTGCGTGTGTCTCCACGAAGCCAGGGCCTCCGTTCTGCAATCGCACAGTCATGGTGCCTGGCGATGCAGAGGGCCTCAGAGCGCACGGAAGTGCCCGCCCCCCCCCCGGAAGTACCCTCACGCGGTGGCCACGCCCCCGCCAGTGCCCTCTCTCACCGGAAGTGCCCTCACCCGGCGGCCTCGCCCCCCCGCAGTGCCCTCTCTCCCCGGAAGTGCCTGCTCCCCCGGAAGTACCCTCACCCGGCAGTGCCCTCTCCCCCGGCAGTGCCCTCTCTCCCCGGAAGTACCCTCACCGGGCAGTGCCCTCTCTCCCGGCAGTGCCCTCTCTCCCAGGAAGTACCCTCACCGGGCAGTGCCCTCTCTCCCGGAAGTGCCCTCTCTCCCCGGAAGTGCCCTCCCCCCCGGAAGTGCCCTCACCCGGCGGCCTCGCCCTCTCCCTCGGAAGTGCCCTCTCTCCCGGCAGTGCCCTCTCTCCCCAGAAGTACCCTCTCTCCCAGGAAGTACCCTCACCGGGCAATGCCCTCTCTCCCCGGCAGTGCCCTCTCCCCCCCGGAAGTGCCCTCACCCGGCGGCCTCGCCCTCTCCCTCGGAAGTGCCCTCTCTCCCCGGCAGTGCCCTCTCCCCCCCGGAAGTGCCCTCACCCCACCCGGCAGTGCCCTCTCCCCCGGCAGTGCCCTCTCTCCCTGGAAGTGCCCTCACCCGGCGGCCTCGCCCTCGCCCCCGGAAGTGCCCTCTCTCCCCGGAAGTGCCCTCACCCGGCAGTGCCCTCTCCCCCGGCAGTGCCCTCTCTCCCTGGAAGTGCCCTCACCCGGCGGCCTCGCCCCCCCCCCCGGCAGTGCCCTCTCTCCCCGGGAGTGCCCGCTCCCCCGGAAGTACCCTCACCTGGTGGCCCCGCCCCCGGCAGTGCCCTCTCTCCCCGGAAGTGCCCTCTCTCCCCGGAAGTGCCCTCACCCGGCGGCCTCGCCCTCGCCCCCGGAAGTGCCCTCTCTCCCCGGAAGTGCCCTCTCTCCCCGGAAGTGCCCTCACCCGGCGGCCTCGCCCTCGCCCCCGGCAGTGCCCTCTCTCCCCGGAAGTGCCCTCTCTCCCCGGAAGTGCCCTCTCTCCCCGGAAGTGCCCTCACCCGGAAGTGCCCACACCCGGCAGTGCCCTCTCCCCCGGCAGTGCCCTCTCTCCCCGGAAGTGCCCTCACCCGGCGGCCTCGCCCTCGCCCCAGTCTCCGGTGGCCTCGCACGCTCTCTGGGCGCGCCGGCAGCTCGTTCTGGCGTGGCTGAGCGTAGTTCAGGCCTCGGGAGCCAGGCCGGAGCGTTTCCCCCAGTCTCGCTTGCGGCGCGGACTGGCGCCCTCCACCTTGCGGCCCGTTCAGGGCCTGGCAGGTCAGCAGGCCGCACTCGTACCCCGGGGCCTGGGTCCAGGGAGGTGGTGGTGGGGAGGGGTCCCCGACTGCTGCCTGCTCACCGTGGCTGCTCGTCTCGTTGGGCCTCCCTGGAGCTCCCTGACTGCTCTCTGACCCACAGCCTTGTCCAGGGTTCCGCCTTGGGTTCTGGGCCGTTCTAGGGGAGCAGGCCCGGCGGCCGCCCGTGCTGTGTCGGTCTGACTCCTCGGTGGCGGTGCGCGGGCTTCCAGGACGTGGGCCCCCCTGTGGGCCCTTTCCACGCTGTCGTCAGTGCTGTTTGGGGTTCGTGTTCTAACAGTCGGCCGCCCCCAGCGTGGCGTTGGCTGGTGGTCGGCGTTCTCTCTTGGCTGTGTGTGCGAGGAGGCTGAGGCCGCTCCGGGCGGGGACGTGGCTGTGAGTGTCGGAGCCGTCCCCTCCTGGGGTTAGCGGGGCACAGGAGCGTCGGAGAACCGATCCCCGGGCATGCCCAGACCGTGAAGAGGGGCCCGTGCGGGAGCGGCAAGGACGGACCCGGAGGACTCCGGGAGCGCTGGGGCCGGGCTGGGGGAGGGGCACGGGCAGGGGGAGATGGTGCGGGAGGACCCTGAGTGCAGCCCGCGCTGTCACCTGACACCTGCGGCCACTCTGTTGTCTCCCCCATTCCCAAGTCTGCCCCTCAAGCCACCGGGCAGTGCAGACTCACGGATGCGTTTGCTGTTTTGGTCACTGCTGTCCGCCCAGGCGTCTGCCACGGTGCTCGGCCCCGTGTGCGGCGTGGATGAGCGAGTGGGTTTGTTCGGGAGCAGTGTGAGGAGTGGTAGGGTATTTGGCAGCCCTTTTCTGGCTATGCCTGGGGTCCTCGGGACTGTGGGCCTCCCTGCACGCCCCTCAGCTCTCCCCCCACCCCCATTATATGAGGCATCTTTCGAAAGTTCATGGAAATGTGAATTATGCAAAAACCGTGCACCGAAGTAAACTCACACTGACCTGACGTGGCACATCTGAACAGGATCTAGCGTGCGGCACTGAGAAGGTTGAGCCATCAGTGTGAAAAGAGCCCCATGGGAGCAGCACGAATTCCGCTAGAATTAAAGCGAGCGTGAACGTGGAATTCTTGGTGAAGCTTGGGTGAAGTCCCTGCTGCTCTGTGGAGTGTGCAGACACGAGATTACAGGTGGGTAACTCGTGTGGAGATGGGACAAGACAAGGCTGCGGGAGAAGCCTCAGCGGCAGAGCGTGCACCTCGGTTTGCAGGGAGAATATTAATTAGCTTCGTGCCCCAGCTGACGAGGATCGATGATAAGCAGCAGAAACACCAGCAGCACCGCAGACAGCTCGGGTGGCTCGCTTCCCACGGTGCTGCGGGAAGAGAAAGGCGGAGCAGAGCTCCTGCCCACGGGCGTCAGGCAAAGGCCGAGCGTGTGGAAGGCTCAGTGAGTCGGTCAAGGTTCTGGAGCTTGGAGATGCAGCGTGGCAGCAGCACTGCCGTCCTGAGGACAGAGCACCGTGGCTGCGGGCGTGGAGAGCCGCCGTCACAGCAGCAGTGTCGGGCGCGCGAGGCGTTTCGCTTGCTGACTTGCTGGAGGGCCGCAGAGTGGTGGCATCTGCTTAACGGAGGAGCCTTTGGTGGAAGTCAGTGAGAGAAGCACCCGGGAGGACGGCGCCGCGACGCTGCTGCTCCGTCCTGTCTCCAGGGAGGGGCCGTTGTGTGAGAGCCTTGACGGACTTCACAGCTTCCGCTTTGCAGCTGCAGTTGGGCTGCCTTCGTCTTTCTATTTCAGAGGGCACCCATTTCTGATGTAAAGGACTGCACCGGCCTGCAGCTTTAGGGATGGACACACGGCTGGGACCATTGCTTGTAAACGTGTCTGGAATTTGATGGGCCTTATGCTCTATTTTTATCTTTTAATTCCATTTTGCATGAGCTTTCCGAAATCCCTTCGTGTGCAAGTGCAGCGTGACGGCAGTGAATCCTCGTCCGTTCTGGAGTGTAGGAATCCCACCTATTCCATGTGTGCTGACACAGAGTCTGTGTATGGACTCCCGCCTGAGAGCGCGTGCAGGGCACGTGCATGAGGATATAGCATGCACAAGGGTCGACGTGCACCTGTCTTAGTGCAAACCGTGCTGGAGCTTGGGGGCCGCAGACGTGTGAAGCTGGAGAGGTCTGGGACAGGCGTCCCCCTGGTTCTAGCCAGCTCTGGCTTCGCGGAAGTGACGTTGACGCCACCTGCCTGACCGCAGGATTTCCTCCCGGGCGGTCTTCGTGAGGCAGCCATCGGGCAGGGGTGAAAGGTGGCTGGAAAATGTGCAGTGGTGTTTGGCCCAAGTCTGTCTTTCCTCCTGCACCACAAGCTAGGCAGAAGTCTCCCAGAGGGAGTGACCCAGGGCCCCAAACCTCTTCTGCTGAAGACACAGAGGCAGGGTCGTGACAGCAAAAGCGTTGAGTGTTTGCTGTGTGCTGAGCAGAACCCTGCTCATGCGTGAGAGAGCTACGGAGGCTGCGCTTGGGCTCCCTGTGACATGGGGGTGGAGGGGCGGTCTGGACGGCTGGGAAGAAGTGAGTCTGTGGTCTCAACACGCAGTACGCAGTAGTGGCCCTGCCTCCTTGTGGGGCGCCCTTTGTGGCCAGGATTCTGGTCAGAATCAGTGGTGTACCTGGCCTCATGGCTACTGAATAGCCCTGGTGGGCGGGACAAGGTGTTTGTACTCTTCTGCCCGGTAGGGCAGAGCACTCGATTGTGAAGGCCCAGCTCTGCCAGGCCCCTCCCCGCCCTCTGCATGACACCTGTTGCCGTCACTTACCAGTTTCTGTTCAGTTGCCATCGTGCTTCACCCACCCCTCCCCCAGAGGAGTCATGTTCCCGCTGTGAGCACGCAGTATCTGGCACACAGTAGGTGCTCAGTGCCTGCTGGTGAGTAGGAAATAGGGTAAATGCAGACGATGGTGATGATGACCCTTACGGAAGTAGAGCTGCTCCCTGTGAGTGTGGGTGCAGTGCCAAGCGAAGGAGCTAACATGGCGCCCCTGGCACAAGCCGAACCACAGTGGAAAATCTAAATGCTCAGGCCCAAGGAATATTGATTGCAGCATCTTGTCTAATGGAAGTGAGGCAGATCCTGATATAGAAATTGACAGGAAGCAAAGTTGAATGGATAAAAATAGAAAATAGATTAGGAGGCTGGAAAGGAAGTACACAAGATGAAAATGGAATTAATCTTTGTAGGCTGGAGGAAGTTATGTACAGCAGTGAATGAATTGACAGCAAATTGATACTTGGCGCAGCCACAATCCGTCTTCAGGGGACAACAAAGGTATTTGTATTTTGTACAACAAAAGGTACACATTTGGTTGATTGTTCCCCACTGGCTCCTGGTGTGAGCGTCGACGGCCTGTGTGCACACAGAACATTCTGTGATGTTTTCCTGGGTGGGATTTTCTGTGCAGTTGAGGGTATGGGGGACCCCAGGGGTTGGGATTTGGTTGAGATGTTGGGGGTGTGGGAGACAGACATTCTAGAGTGGAACTCTTCAGAGATATTCCCTGGTGTGGAAGGAGCAGCCCCCAAAAGGAGACGGTTGCCCTGATGGCTCAGCAGCCACGTGGCCCTGGGTGAGCCACTCGTCCCCAGTGCCCACTTCACTGACTGCCAATGGGGATGCTAAGTTCTCCTTTTCCTGTCTCATTACCAAGGATCTGGGGAGAGAACAGAACTTGTTCTGAGGAGTCCAACCTGGGTCTGCTGCAAGGCAGTGGGGCCGCTTCCCCTAAGCAAGAAGATGACTATGTGTGCGGCTCTAGGACTGCCCAGGTTTGCTGAGGAGTAGAGTTCCTTATATTTACCTTAGTTCACAGTTTAAAATCCAGTCTCTTTCACCTGCCAGATGGGTCCAACCATCCCTCATGGCAAGTGGCTCTCTGAGCAGATGGAGAAAGTGTGGATGGACCGCACAGGGCCCCTGACCTGTGTTCTGGGAACCTGCGTTGTCCCACACCCGCCTCCGCAGCCACCGTGTTGGAATTGTTCCCTTTCTTCAGGACTGCATGTGCAGATAATTCCTGATTAATAGATGAAAATGTGGAATCCCTTGTTTCATCGGAGCCATGTCATGCAGAACTCAGGGTGTCCTAAGGTCCCCAGCAGGTGATTGCGTCATGAGGACGAGGCAGGTCCTTGTGAGGAGGAATGAGTTCCTGGTACAGGGGCGAGTCCTGGGCTGGACATTCTGTACGTGAAGTGTCAGAGACGGCAGCTCGACCAGCACAGAGCATACAGCAGAGCTTGGTGCTGGGCGTGGGAGTGAGAACACACAGCGAGGGCTCGGGCTCGGGCTCGGGCTCGGGCTCCTCTGGCTGAGGGAAGTGAGAAGAGAGAAGAGGTCTAACACTGGGATACAGTGGTGCTTGGGCAGGCGCAGTCTGCCAGGGAGATTCAGCTGTGACCCGGCTTAGTAGAGAGGAGAGGGAGAGTGAGCGAGCATGTGTGTGCTGGAGACGAGGACGCCGCAGCCCGCACTGGTGTCTTTCCCTCCCTCTGTTGTCTTAAGTCCTCAGTTGGACACTGCACTAAAACAAGATGGCGTGCACACACTTTGTGATGCCCAGGTTGTCATGCTGGGCAGCGTCCAAACGTGAGTGACCCTGCCACCTCCTCTGGCCACCAGTTGGCTGCAGGGATCTGGTACCATCACCTGGCTGCTCTAGTTCTAGGGAGGCAAAGAGATGGACATTGACTTTCCACCAGCCCAAACCTGTCATGGAGTCAGGGCTGGAGCTCGGCTCTGGAAGCCGGCGGTTTTGCTGTGCGCCAGGGATAAGGCTGTGCACAGCTCTGTGTCACTTGCAGCAGAGTTTCTTGGTCCTGACACTGGGGACATCTTGGCCCAGATAATCTTTGGTCAAAAGGCTGTCCCTGTGCATGGAGAACATCCAGCAGCTTCCCTGGCCTCTCTCCACTGTTGGCCAGCAGTGTCCTGTGTGACAACCAGACATAGCCAGGTGTCCCCGAGTGGGGCACAGCCTTTCTCTGAAACCCCTGGGCTCCTCATGGAGAAAATTAGTATCCTCAGGTTGTTTTGGACATCAACTTCATCTGTCTACCCTGCTGGGTTTAGAGTGAAAAGTTCTGTGAGAAACAGGAAGATCCTGACGAAAACTCTGGCACTTCTGGGTCTCAGTGAGCTTGGCCAGCCACACTGTGATGTCCCTGGCACAGTGTCTGTGCACCCTTTGCCATGCTTCCTGCTTCCTGCTGCCTGTGTCTTTGTCCTGGTCCCCCAGCAATGAGGTGGCCCTGGTCGTTCTCTCTCCCCAGCTGACGGCCTTGTCCTCCTTGGGATGGCCCTGATTTCAGGGGAGGTGAGGGGGCTCCCTCGGGTCACTTTGCCTGGGGGTGGTGCCAGGGTGGCACTTGGCTCACAGGACCTAGGTGTGACCTCATCGTGTTCCACCTTGCATGGTCCTTGGGAAGTGAAATGAGATGATGCAGTGTGGAGCGCCACCTCTGATCCAGTCCCTTGTTGTCACTGTCACTTGACTTTGTGTGAGCCACCTCCCCCTCGGGCTCAGCGTCCTCATCTGGAAATGTCCTCATTAGTTCTCTGTAGCACCAGCCCTGAGAGACTTTGTTCTCGCTGTAAAGTGGAACAGTCACTGACGCCTTGCAAGCTGGCCCTGCCGTGGTACACAGGGGGAAATGCTCTGCCAACACGTGGTGGGGACCATGGGCAGGTGGACACACACGAGACCACAGACCATGTAGCGTGAGGTCTGCTCAGGCCACCTGTGAAAAGCAGCCGGGATCACTGGTCAGACCCCACCTGCTGTGTGCTCTGGGTCTCTACCGGGGACCACTGAGGCTGATGGCGTCTGCTGATGCTTAGCGTGGGGAGCTCCGGCTGCCCTGGAAGCAGCTGTGGTGAGAGTGTGCACGTCCCAGGGAACAGCCCTGAGAGTCGCTCTGCACCAGCTCTGCAGTCACAGGTGCACGGTCAGGGCTGGGATTTCTAGGAAGTGAGCAGAATCCGCACATCCAAGAGACTTAGCACCAGCCTTGTACCACGTGCCTGCAGGTTTGGAGATGCAAGTGTGGTGGTGCCTTTGCTGTGTCGCCTGGACTGGGCTATGCGTGCCCAGGTATTTGCCCAAGCCGCATTCCTGGGTGTGCCTGTAGGGTGTTTCTCAGGGTGACAGAGGCCTTCCTCCATGTGGGAGGCACCACCCCGGCTGCCTAGAGCCGAGGCTGGGCCGGGGACACTGAGTTCACCTCCCTGCCCAGCACCGTGTTTTTCCCCATTGGCTCCTGGCTCTCAGCCTTCAGCCCCGGGCTGCCACTAACACCAGCTGTCCGTCTGGCTGTGGACTACAAGCTGTGGGACTTCTCAGTGTCGTGGCTAAGCGAGCCGAATCGGCAGAATTAGCCTCATTTTGCCCAGTTTTTGCCAGGACTTCATTCCTTTGGAGAGTCTGCGATGCATCCTGCACTGTGAGGTCTCTAAGAGGACGAAATGAGCCTTGAATAACTGAGTGTCTAAGCCCAGGCCTGATGGGGGTGATGGAGAAGAGCAGGTGGCTGCAGGAGTGACTGGCAGGAGACCCAGCTGTGTCTCCAGATTACAAGGAAAGATCCTTGGGAAGGTCAGTGCCCGCCCACTCCTGCAGCACGTGAGGAGGGGCCCTGGACACAGCACTCCCTCCGCTGTCATTTGCTCATTCTTGCTCCCTCTCTGGATTTGCTCTAACCGTCAATCACCTGTACTTCTCTCCACGTCACTTCTCTTGGGCCCCGACACAGTTCAATGTTGCATCTTACTTCCTGTTCGCTGTGTGGACCCCTCCTGCTATGGAGGCTCCATGGGGTCAGACCTTCGTCTTTTAGGTCACTGCTGTGCAACATTAGCCGATCATTGGACCTTATTGGACAAATGAGATAATCAATGTTAGTGTGACAGGTGAGTGCATGAATGATGAAACCCTGCATAGGCATTTGTCTGCCTCTTCTCCCTCCAGTGCCAGGACTGGTCACCTCTGCTGGTGTGACCTGAGGCTCTTCATTGTCACCTGGCCATACCACCACGACACTCCAGCCCCAGCTTCCCAGGACTTCTGATCTCACCCAGACAACTTGGCCTTTCACCCAGGAGACCTTTCCGTAAACCTACACTAGGACTTGTTCTGCTCCCCACCTGTGCCTCTGCACCCAGCCCCCTCCTGTCTGCACCCAGCTCTGCCCCCTCCTGCTTCTGCACCCAGCTCTGCCCCCTCCTGTCTCTGCACCCAGCTCTGCCCCCTCCTCCACCTCTGCACCCAGCTCTGCCCCCTCCTCCACCTCTGCACCCAGCTCTGCCCCCTCCTCCACCTCTGCACCCAGCTCTGCCCCCTCTTGTCTCTGCACTCAGGTCTAGTCCCCTCTTCCACCTCTGCACCCAGCTCTGACCCTCCTCCACCTCAGCACCAGCTCTGCCCCTCCATCACCTCTGCACCTAGCTTCTGCCCCCTCCTGTCTCTGCACCCAGCTCTGCCCCCTCCTCCACCTCTGCACCCAGCTCTGCCCCCTCCTGTCTCTGCACCCAGCTCTGCCCCCTCCTCCACCTCTGCACCCAGCTCTGCCCCCTCCTGTCTCTGCACCCAGCTCTGCCCCCTCCTCCACCTCTGCACCCAGCTCTGCCCCCTCCTGTCTCTGCACCCAGCTCTGCCCCCTCCTCCACCTCTGCACCCAGCTCTGCCCCCTCCTGTCTCTGCACCCAGCTCTGCCCCCTCCTCCACCTCTGCACCCAGCTTCTGTTCTCCTCCTCCACCTCCACCTCCACCTTCCACCTTCACATCCAATCAGCTGCTTCAATTTCTGTCACTCTTTACCCTGTGCTGCCACATCCTCTGCTTCAGGTCCCCCTGTCCCGTTCCCCGCCTTGTCACCGCTGACCCTGCCTTCCTGCAAGTCTCCAGCCCCAGCCACCAGGGGAGCTTACAACAGTGGGGCCCAGTCATGCATCCTTGCATGGAGCAGTGGCTTCTCTGTGCTGTGGGATAGGGCCTGAGCTCCCCCATTGCATATGCCTTTTTAAATTTAGTCTATATCTGAATCTTAAAGTTCATTTATTGCCATTTCTTCCTTAGCTTCCATCTTGCTCTGCCACCACCATTCATATAACCCAAATAATGTGCAAGAAATATTTCACATTAAGATTTATTGAGCCGGAAAAATTGACCTAAACCAGCCTCCATGCCTGGGTGGTTTTCCCTGTGCTCATCTAGTGGAAGAGCTGGGGCCACCAGCCCACACTGCAGTCCTGGCAGCTCTTCCCTTGTTGTTAAT